TAAAGATATAAAATGTATGTAAAATAAACGTTTTACTGTAGAAACAACAGTCATAAAAGGAATATGTAAAAGTTATCCACATTCAAAATATAGATACTCATCAGGCTCGAGTATATGGTTCTCTCGTTAATGTAATCCAACTTAATATTTTAGAAAATTTTGTAGTTAGAAATATACAATATATATCTATGCATGGTATGATATAATCCAACTTAATGTTTTAGAATATGTTAGAGTTAGAAATATACTATCAATATCTATATATCTACCATGCGTGGTATGATATCAAAGCATTTTGAAACTAGAAATACACAATAAATATATTTTGTGAATTGAGTGATATATTAGAATAAGCTATATCTAGCAATATACAATAAATATTTACTATGAATTAACTGATATATTGGAACAAGTTATATCTAGAATTATACAATAAATATTTACTATATTAGTTCATGTTATATCTAGCAATATACAATAAATATTTACTATGAATTAACTGATATATTAGAGCACGCTATATCTAGAAATACATAATGAATATTTACTATGAATTAACTGATATATTGGAACACCTTATATCTAGAAATAAACAATAACTAACTATTATGAATTAAATAATATATCAGAATATGTTATAGCTAGAAATATACAATCAAGATTTACTATAAATTAAATGATATATTTTTATCTACAAATACACATTCGATATTTTCTATGAATTAAATTATATGTTACAACATTGTATAGCTAGAAATACACAATAATATCTACTATGAATTAAATTATATGTCACAGCATTTAATAACTAAAAATACATATTTAATATGCATGTATACAGTAAATTAAATTAAATATCAGAATATTTTGTATCCAGAATAACTGTTTAGTATATAAATAGATAGATACTGGATTTATACAACATACTACAAATTTTTCTAGTTTTTTGGACTTCTAAATTTTAAATATATATTTCTTGGATATCTGCGAGTAAAAGAAAACAAATGCTTTAGATCTCGAAATTTATCTGTTCACAAAATAAGGATTAAATAGATTTGTAACCGTAAATGTACAACAATTTATCTCTTAAGGCAACGGAAAATCACAGAATACTGCACAACAAAAGACACACGAAACAATTAACAATTTACAAAGGTTAGGATGATGATGTTATAAGAGGAATTCATTTTGAATATTATTTTAATTAAAACCAAAAAACAACATCTAAATGTTGTATGAAGTAGTACAAATCATTGATAATGCAACCGTATTAATTCATTATAGGCTTATTCAAAAGTTTAGAAAAGTGGACAGTTTTTTTGATTCAAATAATCAAATGATGAATAGACAGACCATCTGATATGATTTTCTCACACGAATATTATTCCAGTTAGATGAAATTAATTTAGAGAAAATAAACTAAAGACCAAGCCGTTGAGTAAATAATATCCCTGGAAGTTATTGTATAGAATTTGAAAGAAACTGGTCTTAATTTGTCAACAAATCACTGCAGTCTTTTGATAAAGATATTTAAATAGTTTCTGGGGGTTATTCAGCGATGGTGCTTTATACCATGTGTCCTGTCACTCATTTGTCTTCAGTTTGTTTGTTTTTCTGATTAAAAGTAATAAATATCCCGATTAATTTCTGAATAGTTCTAACAATATCCAGATTAATTTCTGAATAGCCGTTACAATAGTTTTAATAGAGGACAATAAAATATTGTTAGGTTTGATTAGCAGTGTAAACAAACCGTTAAGAAGACGGGTCGCCATCATAGTTCCATCCGCCATATTCTTAGATTAGAGAGTTTGTCGAGCATCTCGACGTGAGGCAATCTACTATTATAAACTTCCATATGCAATTTCTGTCAACGAAGTGGGTATTCACTAATTTAGCGACATTTTTATTGATAGGTTCGCGATTATCTGATTTAGCGACATATTTATTCCGATGAATCGTGTAGTTTACGTTTGTTGACCATGTATATTTTTAAAGAAACCATTCTGTTTTCCTGATGTAATATGAAATGAGGGTGAGGAATGAGGGTATTTGATTTTTGAACTTTTTTTAAAATGAGGGTATTTCATTTTTGAACTATTTCTCAATAAAACTAAAATGGGGGTGAGGGTATGTGGCTTTGATGCACAACTTCCCTGATCCTTTAAGGAGACTTGGGTTATTTGTTGTAGATTAGAGTCTGCGGATATCATCGATACTAAAGCCAAGCAAATTACACAAAATCAAATATACAATTAGTAGTTGGTCGACAGCGGACCCAGAACTTCCTCATAGAAATATGTTAATCTATTTGATAACAGTTCTCGTTTGAAGAATTCACAAAAGTTTAATTTAGTATTTAATATTTTATATTGTCTTATAGTTTACTAGGCGCCATCTTTGTATCTCTATGCTATTAATATTTCATAGTTTAATAATCTGTTCATACTTTAACACACCGACTTCAACCTTTAATGTAAAACAGAGGTCTTAAATACTAAATAATACACCGATTTTAACCTTTAAGGTGAATAGATATCTTAATACACACAAATAATAAATAATAATGAATATTTATACACTGCATAAATACTAATGTAATAATGAATATTTATACACTGCACCCATTGTATCCAAATAGTATGGCCATGGCGCATCATGATATAAAACATATTTCTATTTTTAAAGAAATGCCGAAATCGTATATTATTTGTCTGAAGCAAACAGTATTTTTAGTTGACCCGTGATAAAGCGGGTGCAATTTTCGCTCGAGCTTCACATAGGCTTAATCTATTTGTTATTAGTCCAGCTCAATTTTTGTCAAGATCGCTGGCTAGGGTTAGGGTAAGCATTGGGGCTAGGGTTAGGGAGAGGGTTGGGATTAGCCCTAGTTCTGTTTACATCTCGTGAGCTATGACGAAAAATTGAGCTGGCCTTATCATTTAGCACCAACTCGTAGTTGATCATAGTTACCTATACTATTGAATATGACGTCATATCCGGTTGCGTATTGAAATAAATATGTAGGGATTATTTTGATTCTGTTAACAGCTTATTTTTATTACGATAAATTTAGTACAATCCACGTAATAATTTGACGTTTTCTCAAGGTGCAGCTCTTGAGTATTTATTCCTCATCATTTATTTGGCCTCCTTTATTTCAATTCACGGTTAGAGCACTTAAAAATTATTAACTTATTGTGAGGCACTTGTTCGGCCTTAAGGATCTATTTAATTTCAATCATGGCGACAGATAATAATGTGTTTATTGCACTCTGCGCACGCTTAGGGATAATAAACAGGCCAATTGTCTCCTTAAAGAGAAATTATGAAATAAAATTAGTCCTAGGTTTTATTTAGGGGAATATAAGCCATTTTCTATAGTAATTAAAATAGATTTAAAGAGTGCTACCTGTTGTTAAGTTTTAAAACTATAAATATTTGCGAGGGGTTAAAACTCCGAGATATAACTCGTCGTTAGGGGGTTAATGCCACTTGAAAGACATACAAATTCTACTTTCGTTTTTATTGTTTTTTAAACACCCATTGAAATACGCTTAGCGCCTCAATTATTCTACCATTGGGTGGTAGATCGTTTATTGTTTTAATAGAGAAGTATCGTATGGGATAGTTTGTACATTTTGCTCAACGCAAACTATTTACTTTCAGAATAGATCTCTTACCAAAATAGCCGCCATATTTAAAAATGTGCAACCATTTTGTAATGTGGTTCTAATCCGTTTTACTTTTTTAACACACACAAAGACTAAATAAACATTTTCGATTTTATTAAATGGAAGCAGAATAAATACTTCTCAAAATTTTCGAAGTATACATACTTAGTGTTTTCGGCTAAAATCGTCGATTTAGGAAGCAAAATGTCGGTCAATCAGCTTCGTGTCTGTTCCTCAAGCGGAGCTAATTGTAGACAGACAGCGAAACTTTCGTATGAAGTTTGTAAATCGTGGGACTTCTGTAAACTATTTCAGATTTAACTTGAGCCTAGATATATATTTCTTATTCAACATTTTGACGTCTTTCAACACCTATTTGCTACGGATGGTTATCCACGCATCTGATAAAAAAAACGACCGATGGTGTACGTTGAAACTGCATAGTGCTTTAACGATATCCTATAAAAACTGTAACTAGTTAACATCTATTTTTCTATCAGAGGCAATTGTTAATCGTTTAGAGTGAGTAAAATCTTCTAGACCTATTATTCGTCACTAAGTACAAGTGTTTCGATTACCGACTTAATAACTACTCATTTCACACACACTGTTAAACATTAAAGACATGTTAATCAGGACTACAATAATGTATTTTCAACGCCTGAGTTTGGTTTTTGCGCAATCGGTAGCGGAATGGAATGATACTAAAAGTCTAAAAAGAGAACACCCAAGATGGCGGGAAACATGATGACAAGCACATCACGTGTATCGTTCACGTCATGTATTCGATGAATGTGTGTACAAGATGGTAAATTACTAAACAAACAGCAAGTTATGATATTTAGGTCTCTAACTGGATGGGAATAGAAGATAACACGGACTGTATCTCGACATAAACTTATTTATGACTTTAAACTTGGGTCTACCTCTTCAGCATGCATAACATAATATTACGTTCTTTAACACACGCTGCATCACAATTTTGGCCGTGCCTGTGCGCATTTTTTGCAATCCCATATATTACATGCTGCCTAAGGATTTGCATTCTTCCAAGTCCTAACTACACACGTGGGCCTACTCTTTATTTGAATTTATTTAATCTTATGCAAGATTTACTGCTAGAATTCAACCAGAATCCCTGGGAAATAGGGAAATAAATGAACTGAGGTTCATCTGCACCATCCGGAAAAATGAAGATGGGTGTAGGAAAATGATATTTGTCAGTCTCAGATATGGCGGGTAACTGAACCGAACTCGTATGTTGATGAATTTGAAGGCGGTGTTAACAATCATATATTTTAAAATATCCCTTTTGTCTATTTACAGGTCTGGTTTCAAAACAGAAGAACAAAATGGCGAAAACGTCACGCAGCAGAAATGGCCACCGCTAAAAAGAAGCAGGAACAGGCAGAAGATATGGAAGACGCGCCCTCTGACGGCGAAGATGAAAACGCGGATGGAAATAGTTTATGCGGACTTGAAGGATTAGGTCCTTGAATATAATTTCAACCAATCAATGACATTTAATATAAAAACTTCCACAGGGATGAAAGTAGCGGAAGTGTGCTGTGTGTTCCCTGCTGACGTCACATCCGCTTCTAAAAATACGGAAGTTGTAATATTTGGTTGGGGAAGTGTTTAATGACGCTTGACGATAGAACAGATCTCACCAAATAAGTATTTATCATTCGGATGTTAGAGTTCATGTATTCATTGAAATCCCCATTCGTAACTCATCGTTCATTTATGGAGTGAGAGAGTGGACAAATCAGCAACAGTGTTTGCTAAAGTGCCAAGTCGACTTAATTTTATTAGTGCTGTTTTGGCGAGAAGTTAAGTCCTAACAACAGTGTAATGATTATATTAAAACATATACACGTATGCATGTAGAGTATAAATGAAGATCGAATGACACTTAATACTAAAGTGAAAGTAGAACAGTTTGTTTATATTAATATTCGTTGAAGAATATCCGGGTTTCTGAATTTAGTCACGTGGAACCTATCATGCCAATTCTCGCCATTTTGTTAAATAGTAAAATATAATAAGTATATATATATATTATTATTATTATGTACCTAGATTATCATGTACAGTTTGTGTCGGAAGAAAATGGTTCTTGTCCTGTCATCTTTTTTTGTTAATTATATTGATTCTAAATTATCTTCGTTTTCCCCTTTTTTGTTCTTTACATCCACGTTTTGCAGGCAACCCCGTCCCATAGGCAACAACAGACTACAAATATACTCAATGAAAATCATCCTTCGGTTAACTGTTTTAAAAGCTATTGACAATTATTTAAAATGGAATAGTTCTCCCCAACAGCCAAGAAATGTCACATACGTACTTGAATACTCATCACTCCTTGGTTTTTCTTATGCAAATTGGTATGCAAGATAATTATCCCCTGGTAGTTGAAATTCGAAGAAAAATAGACGGCATAGACCCTGCCAGAGCAATATCCTCCCCTAAGAATTGCACACAGAGCATTTTTAAATAGAAAGTGACGGGTTTTAATCTCCACAAAACGAAATTTTGATCTCTTCGGGACTGCTTCTTTGAACAATGTCCCTGTGACTAGTGGTCGTTATCAGTGAGGGGAATTTGGGGGACACGGCGAAAATCCGCCAACGTTAGATAGGCGATCCATTGTCCCGGCACTATAGACTCAATGACAGAATTTAGGACCTGAAGCCCACGAGTTGAAACAACTTCTCCCAGGACCCCCGGCAGTGATACGGCACATTATCGGCAAAAGTAGGAATTTACCCACTTGAAAAAATTCCCCGAAGACCAATATTTTATATCATTTTAAAATCTTTCTTTAGTAAAGCCTTGTTTTGTGGGCATGGGTCTGGTTTCTTCGGCAAATAAATGTTCTAGCAACGATGATTGGTAGATTATGAATTTATACAAGCAAATGTCACATATATGGGAACACCTTTAGCGCCCAATTAAGGCGACAGTCCTCTGTATCCAGGCGGCTACTACAAGTGGTGTGACAGGATCTTGTATCAGATTATCTCCATGTAAAATATGTTGATATACCGATATGATGCGTGTATTACAAGATATCTAAAACATTTACAGGTGATAAGAACATAATAATACACAGGTAGATTAACCAAATATTCTAAATATTACAAATAATAATATTGCTGATATTAACAATTTGATAGGCATGTATCTGACCTATCCCTTATCCTTTCAAAAAAACAACTAAAGCGACTAAATGTATTGCTAACTAAATGGATAGGTTTTCGAGAAAGAATATACCTGGCCCTGCGGTCACAAAGCATTCTCAGACTTAAGTTAAGAATTTACTCAACTTTCAGTCACTGTCTATGAGAAATATCTTTGATCCAGAAATACAAAACTTTGCACATAGTTTCTTATTGATGTATTTGATACATTAAAACAACAAAGGTTTTATAAATGGCTATTTTGAGTAAATGTTTTGCTTAAATCGGAGAATGCTTTGTGAATTCGGGGCCTGGCCATTGTCTGTTTCATGAACAACACCCGCTAGTGGTTAAATGAAGGTTTGACTTTAATGTCAGTTGGTATAAAATGCATACAGCGCAATAATATTAGCATTTCACTTGCTTTATTTAAAAACCAACGAAATAGAAGAAAATAAACCGAAATTTATATGTACAGTAGAATCTGTATGAGCAGCCACTCCTATTTAGCGACATCTCCTTGTAAGTGGTCACGATAAATTCCCCCCGTAGAAATTCTGTTGTTTCATCTCTTTATTCAACGGTCACTCCTCTAACGCGGCCAGCGGTCACTATTTTACTAATAAATTCAACAAAACATCGCCCATTCAACGGCCATTGTTGAATGATACCATCTTGTCGTTCTTTGTAACACCCCCGCTAATCCCGTGAGTAGTAGTTAATTAACTGGACCCCCACTGATCAGGTAAAAAGAAATGTAAACATAACAATCAACCCGGGATTATCTGTTAATTAATCTTTTGTTTTATTAAACGACTAACCTGATCATTGTTTTCACGCGTAACGACACATTATTTGATACTGATTGAATAAAATAAAAGTACCGAGTTTTGTCACGATCATCTAGTATCTCTCTTAGCGCCTCCTATAATATTACATACAGAGTCACACCCCCTGTAAAAAGGTGATAAAATTAGCGATGTTTTTTGTTCATGTGCTTTTTTGATAAAATACAAATAATTAAAACCTCGGTATATTTGATATTTATATAGATGCTCCCTCCCCCAATAGTTATAAATTCCCCAGGAAAATTATTTATAACACATATACAGACAACTATAATACAATTTGATCAAATGAAATGTTTACTAAATAATACCTCCAAAATATGAATTCCTCGAATTTGTACAGCTTGATGAGTTCAAATCGAGATCAAGTTTGGGGAGATATCTTCAGCGTGGTTAATAAAATGATTTGTCATTATCTAACAACATTTTCTGCATATAGACACGATGAATTCAATTAATGGATCACGTTTGTGCAGATATTTTAAACGTGCTCACCTAATTTTAAAATTATTTTCCCCAAACTTGATTTGCAATTTTCTCACAATGTTTTATTGATATGGAAATTATGAGTTTACATCCCTGAATACTTTGGTAGAGATATATGTAACGTATTTATCTAACTAAATTATTTCCCAAAATTGATGAATAACCTCAAACAATTTTTTAATTCACATAGAAAATTTATTGTAATGTACAGATAGAAATTAAGTGACGAGGTTTGAGTTAGGATCAGAACGTAAAAATAAAACAGTAAAATATTAAACATGCATTATGCAAGAGCTAAATCTGCCTAATGCAGGTCTTTCTTTTGGGCCTTAAATATTATCTAAATTATTAATTAACTTATCCAGACCATAATCAACTCTCGATGCCATCGTTAGCCCGTGATATTTAGTGGATATGAATACGTTTTATGAGGGATGATTTAACGTATAAATGGATAATCGAGATTTTGTTTATTATCGTACCAACATTTGTAATGACGATCTAGGCTAGCCTAAAATTGAATCGCTAATATCTCGGTTCAGAGTCTCGAAATTTTACTGAAATTGTCAGCATATTCTGTTTTCATTTTTTATTTTTTAAATATTATAGTGAAAACTCTCAGCTCTTTATCTCATCTTACCTAATTCCCCTTTAAATAAAACAAACAACTTTTTAGGTTCCAAAGCAGGAATATTGTTATTACCGTATAACAAAAACACACGTCTAGTCTATGTATGAAGTTAAAACATGATGGTCACCTACAAACTTAAACTGTCTGCGATATCACCTCGGTGGAAGCGGACGTAAAATACAACTAACACTAACTAACTACAAACTTAATGAATCTTACAAACTGAAACGAAATAGAAATGAAATGGGGTTTAACGTCCTTTCTTTTGCTACGACAGGGATAATGAAGACGGGCATACGCCATACAGGGAAAGATTTCCCGGACAAAGCTGCTTGGGCCTACTCTTATATTGAATTCAAACTGCCAAGGGATCTTATGGAGATCTGCAGTATTAACAGTATAGAGAATCCGTATATAAAGTGGCCATTGTGGACTCCGGAAATTCCCGATCCTCCGCAATCGGCCTACAATTAGCATCTCCCAACATTATTGTGGCTTGTATAGATCTGTTGCCGCTTTAACAATAAGAATAAATCCCTTGTCGTTATGATACACCAGTCATTTTATTCCATAACAATTAATGTGACCAAGTACTAAAATGCTACTTGAAAGATTAAGTGCAATGGGATCCTTGCTTCCTTTTGCCAGTAAATTAATCAGCGAGGCTTTCGGTGCGGTAATGTCTGCGATTCTCTAAATTTAAAACCAATCCCAAGCAATAAAATATAATATTTTGGTTTTTTTATATCGATATAAATTGTACTTGTATATTTTAGTTCTCTACTCGAAGAAGTAATACGCAATTTGTAATTTACGTGAAGTCTTTATATTATAAGATTGCAAATCACAAGATAAATATTATTGCCCTTTGACCTCGATTCTGACAACCGGGTATTGAATTCAGAAATAATAAATTCTTAAGATGTTCGCGGTATTGATAAGCTATCGAGTTGTATTCATTGAATATCGTCTAAGATCATCAAAATGTAGCGATAAGCGATATAAAGGTGATTCAATTTGTCACACACAGACGGCAACATTTCAATAGACGGCCACCATCTTGTATTTTCATACCGCAGTCAATGATAACGTCAAATTTTGGATTCCCGGCAACGAAGCTACACCGAATATTAATTGTTTGTTTTGTTGACTTATTTCCTTCTGTTGGGTATATTTATCATGTATTTCTATTCAGTTAAATCAGCCTGGACGTAATTTATAGCCAACCCGATAATCTTAACTAACACAAATATAGACTTCACTAAAGTCTATTATACGTGGGTTGGTTTCACTTAAACAGTCACTTCTTATACGAATAAAATGAAATAGGGTTTAACTGCTACGTTTCATGGGGAGCCACGGTGGCTAAGTGAGTAAGACGCTGGCTCGCTAGTCTGGAGGCCGCGGGTTCGATCCCGGTGTTGGCCGAGAAATTTCATCGGGATTTTCAGACGTGGTTTCCCCTTGTCAGTGGTGCAGGACGGAGGGCCTGACAAGGACAGCTGTCTAGTCGTTCGAATGGGATGAAAGATCGAAGACCCGTGTACACATCGGCGTGCACGTTAAAGATCCCTTAACAGTTGGAATTCGATTTATAAGAGTATGCCATAGTGCCGCTGCCCGGGCAAAATTTCCCTCATTGTACACTGTATGGTGTATGCCCGCCTTCATTAGAGCAAGTCGGAGCAGAACAGTAGGACCACCCTATGACTCACTGGGCCATCATGACTACGCGATGAATGAATGAATAAAAATATTTCCGTATATACATGGTATTTGATCTGAAAAAAAAGTATACAATTTCACAAGACAATACATTGGTTTTCAAAATAACACAATATATATGGAGAGAGAGGGAGAAATGGGGTTTAACGTCCACTCGACACAAACTAGGTCATTTCGGGACTAACATATAGTTTAATTTTTATTTCAATAATTCGCTTGCGCATAGGCAATATATATGGATAACAATTACTTTGGTTTATAAACCATAGTAATTGTCATTCCTTAAAAGTGTGTTATTTGATTATGTTCCAATTACTAAATGCCATTCAAAGAATAAACACATTGATTTAAAAGAAATTTAGTTTAAACAATATTTTATTTTTTTTGATTGAACAACAGACAAGGCCTATATAAGAAATACTGTTGATGACAGCACATCGGTGACGAAAACAATAACAAACATAGTCACGTGATTGAATTTAGCTTATCTAAATACAAAACTATATTAATGTCATATCGATACACTTTAATATCACCATATAGCGAAACTCTGACATTCTGGTCTGAACTATCAGCCAATACCATCCAATACTAAACTAATACACCGGCGCTTTGACCTGATCTTATTTCAAATTCCAACTACCAAGGGTTCTTTAACGTGCATACCAAATTTGTAAACGTGACCTCGGGTTTCGTCCCATCGGAACAACTAGACGCTTTTGTTTGCGAGGACCACGATCTTGGAGCACTGACAAAGGGGAAACTACGCATGCTAACGGTGGGATTGAACCCACAATGTCCATTCTCCCAAGCAGAGTTAAAATCCCCTGCAGTTCACACTGGATAGCGAGGCTTGTGTGGAGAATGCCACCATGTCTTCAACTTGGCAGTAGGTGTTCTAAAACAAGACAGTGACTGGTTGGAGAGGGGGAAGTAACATCTAATTGTCCAGCCAACACAACGGGACTAACGTATGGTATATTATGTGTTTTATAATTCGCTTGTATGAAGTTGGGCAGGGAGGACTGTTAATTTATTGTCACGAAACCACACACTTTGACTCAATATGACAGACCACCCAACCGCTCTGCAGACGTCGAAAACACCAGCAGAGTTACCAGTCTCAGCAGGTCATTGTGTTGATTGTTCTGACTACTTCCGGGAATAAATAACGTAAATAATTCCAGTTGATTTGCTGGCCGGAAATACTGGTGGTAAGTACAATTAAGGGGGAGGGGAAGGAGAAAGATCGATTATCGATGTATTTATTTTATTTATAGTTGATACACATCAAACAGCTCGATCAAAAGACATCAATTAACCATACACGTGTTAATAATCTATCTTCTTTCATATTTAATCTAAATTACGTCTCAATAAATACTTTACCCAGCTTTCTCTTCCATTTATATTCCCGCCCAATCGGAAATCTCCTAATTTGATTAATTCCAATGAAGAAATTATATGACCGTTCACGAGAGCAAAATTAATTTGGTCATAAAATGCTCGTTAAACCGAATGAGAAGAATGGGCCACGAATAGCAATGAAGCGAGTAAAAGAAGTTTGATAAAGGCACTAATGATGAAGGATCCAACAAAATGGCTCTTTTCGTTTGAGCATTTGTCAGCAGATTTGTATAAAACCGTTCTAAATGATGATCAATCGGATTTCATTTCATGGCATCCATTGTTAAGTAAGGGGTTGTTCGGAATTCTTCGTCTGTTTAAATGAGATTAGCGTGAAGTGGCCGACGCGTTATTATGTCTTTTGCCCGTCTCTTTCTTGTAGGGTATACAACCCGAACGAAGGAGTGATCTTTATTATGTTTGGGAGTTATCTACCGTAACATGACGTCATTTGATGCCATGATGGACGTCACTAAGTGTTATAAGTAATAAAATGTTAGACGACTGATTATTATGGGTTGGGATGGCCTAGTGGCCTAGAGTGTCGAACGTTTCGAGCTCTAGCTGGACGGTCACCTCTGGCTTACGGTCACGCACCTACGCTGAATATACTAAAAAATATAAATAAGCGGGCGTTAAACCTAAGAACAATAACGGCTGATGCATGACAGTTTGAAAGATTCGTTTTTGGATAATGAATAAATAAACAAGATCCGAGATAGAGAAATGGAGTTTAAAACACACTTAAAACAAATTATATCATTTTTGAACTAACTAAGACGTGGTTCAATTGTATTTCAATAATTCGCTTGGTTGTAGGGTGGTTTTTTTTAACAGCAGGAGAAACCTGAAGAAAACACGCCAGAATGGGCAATCGACCTGTGAGGTCGACACCACGCCACTTGACTTAAAGACAGACGATTATTATAATCTAAAGCGCACAAGGTAGACCACCCGGTCACCCGACACCCCTTAAACCTTATACTCCTGCAAATAGTGCGATGCCTTAAATTTTAATTTTTGTTTAACTTTTGTTGTTTTTGTCATAAAATTTCAATAAATATTAAAGACATTTTAAATCCCTTCCAATATTACAGAAGTTGAATCTTTAAAAGGAGAGAGAGAGAGAGAGGGAGAGAGAGAGAAAGAGAGAGAGAGAAATGGGGTTTAACGTCCACTCGACACAAACTAGGTCATTTCGGGACTAACATATGGTTTAATTTTATTTCAATAATTCGCTTGCGCGTAGCGGTCTTTAGCAGTGGGAGGAAACCGGAGGAGCCGGAGAAAACCCACGAGGTTGGACAGGCGACCCTACTCCTTGTCACGTACAACCTGGGATTCGAAACCACGCCAGTTGACTCAATGACAGGCCTTATGATACAGCGCGCAGCGTGCACGTGCTAACCATTCGCCCCCCCCCCTCCACCACACACACACACACACACACCCTTTAAAAGGAATATCGGTCCAAATATGATTCATTTCAGTTAACAAAGATTCATTGTATATAATTGCGTAACAATTAACATCTTCTGACTGACGCCCACAACAATCTGGTTAAAATACAGCAGTAGATTAAGTTTCGTTTTTTTATATACTTTTACATGAAGATCTGGCCGATTGTAGTGGAAGGTGGCGTCAAAGGTCATACGAGCGGCTTTTCACACTATGACGTCAGACATTTGATTACCCAATCAAGAACACACCGTAACAGACCGTTTCAATGGCTAATACCTCACATCATCTAGAACGCGGGTTAAATAGCAATTCTTCCAGATCCTAGTGTAGTAAAGACAAGTAAAACGAAATTTTGAACTATAAAAACGAAACTAAATAGGATCTGTGTTTTAACCAGATTGACACCCACAAGTGTTAGGTAGATCTTGAATCGGTGTGGCCATATTTCGTAAAAACAAAAAAACAAAAAAACAAAAAAAAACCAACCCCAAAACAATCAAATAAGTATTAATATGAATTTTAAAACACTTATTGTAAAAACCATTTGATAGATCATATGTCTTGCATTAAGTGTGACGAGGAAGACATGCCCAATATTTTCCCCAATATTGTGTGCAAATATTAAGTGTTCAAAAAACAGAGTGGCGATCCATTTTGTTAATGGTCATTAAGGCCTCTCCGATCAGCGATAAATTATCTTTCCTGGGGTGTAAATACCTCCCTGGGCGCCTCACGTGATCTCCGTAGCTTTAAACGTGTTCGATAGCGCCCTCTGACAGCCAAGGGCAGCAACTCGCAGGAAATATTGGATATGTCAGGACTTATGGGGCCCACGAGAACCGGTTATGTGGTGTATAATTTGTTTTAAGAGGTTTGCAATAAACACGCGATGAAAATTGAACGGGTTTTAGTGTGGCGAATTATATTTTTTTGTCTCAATTCACCAGGGACGTGTTGAGAGCGACCGAGGCTTGCTAGCGCTGTTAACTGCCAAACGGCTAATCAGCTTTCGTTGAGCAATCGCTACAGAAAAATAGCGCGCGATTAATTTCCATGAGGTATCCCGGGCAATTAATAATGATAAATTTAGCTAATAAATCATGCTTTTAAAGAGAAACTATCCACACTTGTGACACACGCTATAACAGACAAATTATACTCCAAGCTTTCTAACGACGTTTTCTCCTTTCAGTCCGAGAACCAAGATATCTCCGAGTTTTTATCCCTAAGTTTGACAAATGGCTCCTAGTGGACGATAAGTTGCAGAACGACTGCCATCTTCCTGCATTCAAGCAGCACATTTTATAGATGAAAAGTTGACTGTGGTGTTTACAAAGACAGACTTCAATCGGCATAACCGCGATGATATCACAACAATAGCTGACGGTTTATTATTGATAGAACATTTCGCCACGTCTCTAGAACTTAACATAAGCGCCTTGACGACTACCTGTCAACCCAAGAAAGACAGCAAACGGTCAAATCACTTAAGATCCTTGCCCATCATTTATCTGGCTTGCGAGAACTGGACGGGTCGCTTTTTAACGTAATTTTCCGCGTTTGATTTAACCTCGCCAAGACCCTTTTTGTGTCAATTCGCTATTGATGTCGAGTCCGAATCACAGTTAACGTAATGAAGTGGTTTGAATGGCTGACGTTTGATTACTTGGGCTCTTCTTCTTGTGATAAAGTGGCCACAATTCAACTAATGGACATTTGACAGAATATTTCTGAAACTTTTATCAAAGGCAAGTTTCACTTAAGAAATTGCGCCATTGGGTATAGAAGTAACGCAAATCGTACTGTGTGTAGGACGCGAATGGTTGGCCGTAGACTCCCCAAAAGGGAATAACTATGTCCAGAAGCGAAGCATTTTAAAGATCATGCTGCATCCTTGGCAAAATTCTATTTAGTAGTGTAGCTGAGGGGTGCTATGGGGCTCGAAAGGTTGACCCACTAAAGAGAAATTTGCGAAACTGATTTATTTTGAAGGACAATATTGGTGTCAGTCATTATCACATACGTGACAGAACTGGTTAAACACATTCCAAATATAATTTTTAGATCATTCACTTGATTTGATATTTGTTGTTAATTTCTTGCAATGTTTATGCAATCTTATTAAAACACAGATCCTATTTCGTTTCGTTTTTTATAGTTCAAAATTTCGTTTTACTTGTCTTTACTACACCAGGATCTGGAAGAGTTGTATATAACACGCGTTCTGGATGTTGTGAGGGGTTAATCAAATGTCTGACGTCATAGGTCTAAACCCGCTCGCATGACATCTGACGCGACCTTCCACTACAACCGGTCAGATCTCCATGTAGTATAGGCCATCAAAAGTATAAAAAAACGAAACGAAATATTGATCAGTATTTTTATCAGATGGAATGTTTATGTAGATTTTTTTTGTCTGCAGGTTTTGCGAACAGTAAAGTCCTCCAACACTTACTATATCCTGTAGAAGACCAATGGACAATTAATTTTATTTCGTTTCTTTTTGTTTGAAAGGTTAAGGAGGTAGAGTTGGCAAGCCTCAATATGGATAACAAGCCTCGATGTCGTTTGGTAGAACGTGCCTGTCCTGCTAATGGTTGGTAATTTACTTCGATAAGACGATAACTCTGATTCAATATTACCCTATAGAGACCCCCAAATTTGTTGCAATCGAATTAAGAATTAATTTCCCCGGGCGACCGAATCGTTGAAATGAGAGGTTGGTTTAATAAGTTGGGGGCTGAAGATTAATCGTTTATCGACGGCTGTTGAGCGAGACCAAACTATCAATATCAGTTGTAAGTTACACGGTGTTAGTCGACAGAGGTTCCTGGAATAAGATGACATGAAGGGGGTTTAACGTCATACTGTTCTGCGCCTACCTTGTTAGTCGACAGTAACGACGCAGAGGTTGGTGAAAACCGAATCCAGTACTAGAAGAAGATAAAATGTAAAAAAAATGTGGTTAAGCGTCCTACTTTTCTGCTCATATCAATATCATTTGTAAATTATACCGTGTTAGTCGACAGTAACGACACAGGAGTTTAACGTCCTACTATTCTGCGCCGACTAAGCTAATGAAGACGGACATACGCCATACAGTGTGCTATGAAGCACGTTTTGTCCGGAGAGCGGCGCTACGGCCTACTCTTATATCGAATTCCAACTACCAAGGGTTTTATTACGCGCACGGATCCTCGATATTTTGTCCCATCCGCACGACTAGACAGCTGTCCCTTGTCAAGCTATATTTGTTTATCGTGATACATGATGATACTAGAAATCTGGAAATAATTCAACTTTATTATTATTTATCTTAGTTTATGTTCTGTGAGCCGCGTTGGCTCAGGAAGTAAAAATTCCCTCGTGACAAACTGTATGGCGTATGTCCGTTGTCATTGGCCCAGTCGGTGCAGAATCATAGGACGTTAAACCCCCATTTCGTTTCGTTTTCTTCTAGAACTGGGTTCGGTTTTCGTCAACCCCCGTGCCGTTACTGTCGCCACCAAGAACAACTAGATGAGTAGTGTTTCGCGAATCAGTTCCTGGTCCAACAATCATGTTCATATAATTTCAATTTGTGTGATATTCTAATTTGTTTCATTTTCAGTGAAGTCTGAATCACTACAAGTCCGGAACTTCTTTAATTGGCATTGAGTAATTGGGCATATTAACACAAGGTACAATTTTATGGGCACACAATTACAGAGTTTAATACTAAGCGACGTTTTGACGAGGATACTTTCGTCTTTATCAAGCAAATGATGAGTGTCCTCGTCGAAACGTCGCTTAGCTTTAAACTCAGTAATTGTGTACCCATAAAATTGTACCTTGTGTTAAGTCCGGGACTGTACAGCGTAGTGGACGCTTACGGCTAGCCCTCTGATTCATTAACATGATCTGATCTGTACGTTTGTTGTTTGTGATGTCTGTAATTTGTGCCTTGTCCGTAGATTTGTCTTGTATATTTTTTGTGTGTGGTGCAGTCCCTCTGCACTTACTATTAAGAGAGAGGGGGAGAGAGAGAGAGAGAGAGAGAGAGAGAGAGATGGGTTCAACGTCCACTCGACACAAACTAGGTCATTTCGGGACTAACATATGGTTTAATTTTATTTCAATAATTCGCTTGCGCGTAGGAGTCTTTAGCAGTGGGAGGAAACCGGAGAACCCGGAGAAAACCCACGAGGTTGGCCAGGTGACCCTACTCCTTGTCACGTACAACCGGGGATTCGAAACTACGCCAGTTGACTCAATGACAGACCTTATGATACAGCGCGCACGTGCTAACCATTCGGCCATGCAACCGACACGCACTTACTATTAAACGTATAAGCCTATATATACTTAAAGTTGCATATGACTACTGCGGCTTTAAAATAAATAATAAATTGAATACGAAAGTGACTCAACACGTAAAGAGTAAGGTCGGGTAATTTAATCAACAATGTTTTTGTTAATGAGTTCTGGTCTAAACATTGGAACGGTGATCTATCTATCCTGACAATTGAGGTTCAAATTTTACAACTTCACAAAACTCGTTTCCCGTGTCGCTTCATTTGCGGACAAACATATCTGCTATTGAAAGAAACTATTAACTATCAAAATGAATGCAGCGTTGTGTCAAACGACCGACAAATTGTGATAGTAGCAATAACATAACTAAACGCAGTAAAACTCATTCTCAAAACAGCTGTTAGAAATTCACATTCAAACCTCATTCAACAAATTACGTCATCAGTATAGAGATCGCGCGACTCAAAGGAAGTACACGTCACGAGTTTTTGTGTACACGAACAACAGTCATAATGGCGGCTTAATTAAGGTGGTTTAATGGTCATTATTTGCCCGTTTAAAACGCATTAAGTGACAGTATTTCGACATCATGTTTATTGTTATTGATATCAATTATCCGCTAATTGTCTCCTGATAACTTTCTTTTATTCACGTGATTGTTTGCACGTGACAGGGTCTCCATTTTGAGTAAAGGACCATTTGTAGATTTTTCAATGCACCTTTTTATCCCGTGTTTATAATTCCGGGGTCGTAGCTGTCGACGCTGGACAATACCATTAGAATGATGAACGAGCATTTTAAATAGGCTCTGGCAAAGAGATGATCAGTTTCTCGGGACTAATAGTCCTACTTTTGGTCTGATTATAGACTGAATTAAGGAATGGTCTGACGGGTTAATCTACTTATCGAAAGAAAACGTTAAACCAATGATGAATTCACCCACTTATTCTGTCTGTTAAAGCCACTTTTATTCTCATTTTCAGTCTTCTGAGAGAATATCATTTCAACTGCCCTGTCCAATTTAAACCAATTAACACCGGTTGAAGATGCCTGGATAATCCTGACATAAGAGGCAGGCTCGTCCATTAATAAAGTTTTATAAACAAAGGAAAGATGTGATAGATTTTATTTTGCTTTAACCCTAACTTCAAGGGAGAAGTTTCAAGGGTGTAATTATCATCAAAATTTTATAACTTTATTTGAAATAGACAACATACCCATATAGCGCTGACATAATCTTTGTGTATTTGCTCAGCTGGTCATCTCAATGTGTGGAATGATCTTTTATGATCATTTCAACATCCATAAACTGGCCATTGTTGGTTTAATTTCTCGTCGTTTTGTCTAAAAAGAAATATTTGACCAATGAGTAAAACATTTACAACAATATCGACGAGAGAGAGAGAGAGAGAGAGAGAGAGAGAGAGTAACGCATATTTGTAGTTCGTAACAATGATGGTTGTAACTATGATATATTTAGAAGTAGAACGTCGTTTGTCGATGAGAGAGATTTAATGTTCTCTCGACCCAAGCTAGGTCATTTCGGGACTAACATATGTTTCAATTTTATTTTAAAAAATTCGCCGCGCATAGGAGTCTTTAGCTGTGAAAGGAAACCGGAGCATCCCGAGAAGAAAACCCAGAAGGTTGGACAGGTAATCCTAACCCCCCCCCCCCACACACACACACACACACACACACACACACACACAGACCATAGTTTAAAGCTATTGATCGTCATCGTCCTTAGTAATTTTTTCAGACAATATCTAATTTTTCAAGTTCAAATCCACACTAAAATGTTCCCAAACTGAGCTAAATCTGTCTATTGCACGTCTTTCTTTAGGCCAGAAATACTATATGAATTATTAATTAGACATTTATTAACCTATCCAGAACATAATCAACTCTCGGCATAGCTAGTTTTTTCGATATTTAGCGGATTGGAATACATTTTTTGAAAAAATAATTAAACGTAAAAATGGATAATCGAGACTTTGTTTTTTTATCGTACCGACTTTAGTAATGATGATCGAGGCTAGCCTAAAATTCAGATGCTAATATCTCGGTTTAGAGTGGAACAATTTGACTAAATTTTTGGCATATCTATTTACGTTATCTATTCTTTTAACTATTATAGCGAGAACCTTTATATTAAGAAATCAAAACCAAAACATCGACGATAGATAATCTCCCAGCTTGTATTCAATCGGATTGAAAGAAAAAAGTTTCGCCGTAAGATTATTCTTAAAGTTATAGAGAGAGAGGGAGGGAAATGAGGTTTATCTCTATAATTCGCTTGTGCGTAGGGGTGTTCAGCAGTGGGAGGAAACCGGCGGATCCGGAAATCAACCCATTAGATAGGACGGGCGACCCTACTTCTTGTTACGTACAACCGGGGAATTGAAACCACGCCATTTGACTCAATGACAGACCTCATGATGCAGCGCGCACGTGCTAACCATTCGGCCCTCAAAAGTTATAGGTAACAAGGCTTATTTATATGGTCTGCAGAGGGTGCCAATGATCTGTATCGAAGCAATAACAAAATACGTTTTCATGTTTAAAATAAATTGAACATTCTCGGCGAACGTTTTACTCACTGAGTCACCGCAAATTTCTCGAATAATTCAAGGCAATAATCAATATTAAGGACAAGTTCGCCCCCTTTATTATCAGACTTGTAAAAGGTGAACAGGGGGCGCTGAAGAGAACAAGGACCGTGTTGACTGTCTTCTGATTAATGAGAGGCCGTGATTAAATGTCGACCCTTATTGTTAAGTCATACATGTCTTGATTAAATTTCTTAACGAGCCATAAAAACCTTCCTCTTGTAATAAAACGGATAAACAATAACCAAGGCTGGGGTCAAAATTACTTTAAGATGAAACCATCTGGTTAACCTAAAACCAAAAGAAAGCCACGCTGTTAAAACCAATATGAAAAATATAATACGTTCATTTTCGTCGGATAGATCTGAAAGAGAGCAAGGGAGACAGGGGAGTGGGGAGCAGAGGTGTGTGTGTGGGTGGGTGTGTGGGTGTGTATGTTTGTTGGGGGGGGGGGCACCGTCTACATGACACATACTTACATACTGGTTAACCTAAAACCAAAAGACAGCCACGCTGTTAAAACCGATATGAAAAGTATAATATGATCATTTTCGTCGGTTAGAACCGAGAGAGAGAGCAAGAAAATGGATGGGGGGTAGTCGTCCACACGACACATACTTAACATACTTAGCATATACACCCCCCCCCCCTCCACACACACACACACACACACACCACCACCACCACACTGTTAAAACCAATATGACGAATATTATACTTTAAAGTAAATATAAATAAAATAAAACTAAGTACGAACAATCCAAATCATTAGACAAAATTCGAAGTCCTATAAAAACGGTATAGGCAAAATAGTGTAATAAGGCAAAATAGTGTAATCAGCATATGGACTGTTCACCGTGTACAAAATACACGACAACAGTGGTAACAGGTGTCCGGAAGAGTAAGCTTACACTGCCTGGCGCCACACCCGCCATAGCTGCATCCAAACTATTAGGCGAAATCTCGGTAAAATAGCGTGATTGGCCAATGAACTATCGGTATGCAAAATGCACGTGATGAACAGTGTTAACGATGTAGTAGACAGACATTATCAGGGAGATAGTATACGCGTAAATTAAATATATCTAGAATAATAGCCGAGAGAGACATGTTATATTTACCATCAAGTCAATATGACGGCCATAAAACTTTTTAAATGTTTTAATAAGTTTAGTTCGCAAGTATCCCTGTAGCTGAAGCTTAGATGACAAATGCCTCGATCTACTTAAAAAATCAGAATAAAATGAGCAAGCGCTCATTCTCTTCGGATAGAACTGACTCTTCGGATGATTCTTCGTTTCTTAATAGAGGCATAATGTAAGAGCTAGCTTTGTTTTGTTAGGCTTCAAATGTTACATTAACTATTAATTAGACATTTGTTCACATCACAACCCCATAATCAACTCTCTAGATTATCGGATGACAGTGATGTTGAATGAATTAGTTCATCGTCGATATTTAATAATTTAACGCTAAAATGGATAATTGGTTTATTATATTATAGTAGCAATGATAATTGACAAAATAAATATATATATACCGCCAGACAGTATTGGCGTTTCAGAGAGAGAAAGAGAGAGGGGGCGGGGGTTAATGTCTGACTAACATAAGGTACATTTTAATAATTCGCTTCCACGTAAGGAAAAGAGTTTAGTCGTTCAGATGAGTTGGAAACCGAGGTCGCGTGTCCACATTGGCGTGCACGTAAAAGACCCCCTAACATTTGGAATTCGAAAAAGGAGTAGGTTTTAGTTCGTATGCTCGTCTTCGTTAGCCCAGTCGGTGCAGAAAAGTGAAACGTTAAACAGCATTTCAATTATATTAAGTATACGAGAACGATTGGCATTAAAGAATTAACCCATGAGTCTTTATTTTCCCATCTAAAATACGTATTACTTATTTAAAACTTCTGCCACTTAATACACTATTAAAGACAGTGTTTAAAGGCCGATTGTCATACGAATAGAGATGTACAGAATGGACTGATTGTTCGGTCTATCACATTAGTCCACCTCAATGAACAGTTTATGTTCACTTTAGGATATACGGAATAATAGAGTCATATATAAACTCAGTTATGTCCCCTTAATGTGCCTCGTGCATTGTTATCGGTCACAATTTGTATTTTGTATTCAATCGAGGTTTTGTTCGCGTTAGTTCTGTAACTAACGAACAATCGCTTTATTCAGACGATAACCAATTTATGCCAATAAAAATTCTATTGAATATGAAAAGGTTTTGAATAAATAAAGCGTATTAAGGATTGTATTGAAGGGAGAGAAGAATGGCAGTGTTTAGAAATATCGAGTCGTGTTTTATGGGATCGCATGACCAGGTGCTCACTTTTACACTCTTAAATCTAATAAATCACTTTTAGTTTTCAGATCTAGCCAAGTTTTAACACCTAATTCTTTCTCATTCAAGAGTTAACAAAAACTCGACGTGATCCTGCATTAGGCAGACTAGAATTTAGTTTAAGAAACTTAGATTAATTCAAAAAAAAAATCTAAAGAAAAAAACAACAACATTGCGATCGTGTGTTAGTTTTTAAAAAAATATCCAAATTAGAAGAAATCGAGTGTTTAAAATTCGAAAACAGTATAATATTAAATGAGAATAATCCTAAAAGGGACTAATTTGAAGGAAATAGTTATCTAAAAGAATATAATTCTAAAAGAAATGAAATAAATTGGGGTCTAAAGTTCCCTAAAAGAGTTTAATTCTAAAAGAGTATAATTTGAAGGAAACGGCTATCTAAAACAGTATAATTTGAAGGAAATAGTTATCTAAAAGATTATAATTCTAAAAAAAAGTTTAATTCTAAAAGGAGTTTAATTCTGAAAGGGTGTGATTTTAAGGGAATAGTTATCTAAAAGAGTATAATTCTAAAAGGGTATAATTTGAAGGAAATAGTTATCTGAAGGAGCATGATTCTAAGAGAGTATAATTCTAAAAGATTATAATTCTCAAAGGGTATAAATTTGACGTGAATAGTTATCTAAAAGAGTATAATTTTAAAAGAGTACAAGTTGAAGGAAATAGTTATCTAACAGGGAATAATTCTAAAAGGTTAGTCCTGAAATTACCTAGTTAGTGGTAACCAGGGTACTGGTATATTCGAGACTTAGGCCCGCTTTCCCATTTTTACATAAAATTTTTAAACGGCGAACCGTTAAAATCTCGAGTATCCGATGCCATCGAGAGTTGATTATGTTCTTGTTTTGTTAATAAATGTCTAATTATTTGTTTATATAACCATTCAGGCATCAAGAAAGACCTGCAATAGGCAGATTTAGCTCTTGCATAATGTATGTTTAACTAAAAGAGTATAATTCTAAAAGAGTATAATTCTAACAGAGAATAATTTTAAAAGAGTATAAATTGAAGGAAATAGTTATCTAACAGAAAATAATTCTAAAAGAGTATAATTTGTAGGAAATATTTATTTAAAAGAGGTTAATTCTA